TTTTCCTGTTGTCTGAGCTCCAACTCTCTCATATAGACTGAAGGTCTTGTCCCCTGTCCCTCATTTCTAATTCACTGTTTTTCAACCTAGCCTCTTCACAAACTCTCTGTATGACCTTAAGCAAATCACTTCCTCTTTGGGGTTAACATTTTCCCATTTGTAACATAGTTGGGTGAGATGATCACTTGAGCCCTTGGTGGCTCCAACATTCTAAGATTCTAGGCTTTATCTGACTCAGACATGATTTCCAGAAGAGAAATTTTACAATCCTTTATTTGTGTGGGAAGTCCATTCTTAGAGTGTGGCTCAGTGTGAGGTGATTCTAATACATGATCTTGGACTATGGACTGGCAGTAAATTGGCAGAACATTTTTCCAGGGGTTGTTCCTTTTGGCATTCTCTTTGCCTGAAGCTCATACCCACACCTCAGTCACTTTTGAACTACAGATTGTTTGATCCCATAGGAAGCTTGGTGTCCTTTCCTCACTTCCTAATAGCTCCCCTTCAGAATTGGCAAAGTCAGCAGTTATCACAAGTTGTGACAGTGAAAATCGTGACAAAACTTTTATTTCCGGAACAACAAGCTCAAGTGTAATTTAGTGATTATATTGGAATAGGAGGCTTACTTGGGTCTTTTTTACAACACTTTACTTATCTAGAACACTTACAAGAATTTCCTTTTGGATTTTTTCATGTAAATTTTATTCTTTTTGCTTGTGTAGGAGGAATAGGTATGTTTTCAAAAAATTTGGAGAGAACAAAAAAGTACAGAGAAGGGCGGGGGAAGCATTCATAACCCTACCATTTAAAAGCATCCAGTGTCATCATTATAGTGTGGTTCTTTTTATCTCTCAGTTGTCCCCATTGTTAAAATCATGTACATTAATTTTGTTATGACTGTGTGTTATTTTGGGTAACTATACTGCTCTTGAGTAGGGTCACTATTTGTGGTTCTAAGTTGTTTCAACCAATGGGATATAATTATATCTAAGTTGTTCCAAACTATTGAAACAAAATTGTGTCATCAAATTAGAAATAATGATTGAAATCAGGATGGCAATAAGGAACCTTAATATCACTGAATTGTATCATTTCCATATTCACCCTTTATTCTTCTTCAACATGGCATATCTATGGGTAACAAGTGTGTTTTTTCTGTTTTTTTTTATTGTCTTTGATATCTGCCCCTAAGTAGTTGACAGATCATATTGGTTGCGAAATTATTCAACATTTCTGCAGTCTGCTGATGGGGGCTGGGAATCCATGGGGATTAGCAGATTTGGCTTCTAATTATATGATCCTAAGTAAGCCATTTCTCCATTCTGAGCCTCAGTTCCCTCATTTATAGAATGAGAGGCTTGGATAAGATGATCATGATGAGCTCTGATCTCACTCTTTTTCCAAGATTTTCTCCCTCTCTGACAATTTTGGCTTTTGGGATTTACATTAGGAAGTGGAAGGGAGGATCAGAAAAGCCAAATGCAAAGCAGCCTGGTTTTGGATCTGCAGCTATAGCTGAATCGTGGACTCTTGCTGTGAGCATGTCCCTGAGTTCTGCTGTCTTCCGCTAGAACAGCAGTAAGGAGCCTTTCTCTTCACCTAGGCACACAACTGAATTCTTTCGTCATAGCTTCTCTTTAAGATACCAAATAAGTCTCATCTTATGCCTTGAATAAAAACCCCAGAAATTGTGTTCTATTCATGAGCATTTCTGATTGCTTGTGCTTCTTGGGTAGATGTTCCTAAATCATCAACTATTATGAATCATCAAATCCAAACAAGCTTGACATCTTTAAACTACTTAAAGCACACTCTAATTATTGTAGAAAGTTTGTATTGGTAAGACCAAAGCTCACAATCTTTATAATCAGGTGTACAAACGGACTGTGGCAGGACTTCTTTAAACAATGGACATCTTACCTCTGGGTTATTTAAAATCTTGATTGCCTAAAGTTCAGTGTGGAGGTACTTCAAGAACACAGGTACTGTTTACAGTAAACACACTCATGTGACCATGGAAAGGTCCTGGCAACTTGTTGGCCAATGTATCCAAGACCCTTTCCATGATTCTGATCTTATAGGGTCCCTTTGCCACACTTGACACTTTTGACCTTCACCTCCACTTTGAAGCTCTCCTCCCTAACCTTCTCTGATGCCATGAACTGGCTCTCTTCATTTTCTCCAACCATTTCTCCATTTCTTTATGACTCTTTTTCCTTCTCCTGCTCTTAGGTTGGGGAATCCCCAAAGTTTGGTCCTCAAGCCCTTGTTGCTCTTCTCTTCGTACATTCTCTCTTGGTTCATTTCTCCAGCTTTCACATCTTCACTAGGCTCATACCCACCATGAATTCTAGCTGTGTTACTCCAAGGACCTGATGAACATTTTTCTGTATAGATTCCACCATTCCTTCCAGTATAGCTGATCAAGAATGAAACTATATCACTGCTCTCCTTAGAATCTTCAATGGCTTCCCTTTGACCTCCTGAGGAAGCCTAAGCTCCTCAAGGAGGTATACAAGGTCCTTCATATGAAAGTCTTTCCATGCCTTCAGGGAACTCAAGGAGAGAGAGAGAGAGAGAGAGAGAGAGAGAGAGAGAGAGAGAGAGAGAGA